TTACAAAGAACTTAATATAGACAGGATGGGCCCAGAATAAGGCCCATTACAGAAAAACATAAATAACAAGAAAGAATAAACAGCCTATGGGCCATTCGGCCCATCTTCTCTACAATCATGTTAATTAATTTGTTTGTATATCTGTTTGTCACTCTAGGGTCACAAGAGTTATGTTCCGAACATGATTAGTGGAGCATCTCAAGCTGATATTGGTGTTCTGGTAAGCTAATGGTGTGATGTTTTTCTTTTATATTGCGTTAAAGTTTTTGGATGAGTATTTGAATTTCCCTACTTATTTTCAACTATAAATGTTCCTTCTGTGATATTTAGGTAACATCTGCACGTAAGGGAGAATTTGAAACTGGGTATGAAAAGGGTGGACAGACTCGTGAACATGTCCAACTTGCAAAAGACCTTAGGTGTTTCTAAGTTGCTCATTGTTGTCAACAAAATGGATGATCCTACTGTAAGATGGTCAAAAGAGAGGTGCTTTACAGGAACTTTGTTTTCTCTGCATTTTTTAGGTTTGAGTAATTTGTAATATTTCCAATGTGTCCTTCACATTTATTGCTTTCCCAGGTATGATGAAATAAAGTCAAAGATGATACCTTTCCTAAAATTGTCAGGTTACAATGTGAAGAAAGGTAATGGGGGGGGGTCCTTTACTGTTTGTTCAGCTACCATTGACATGGTTATTATTTTGATTTTCAAAAACATCCAATTTCACTTATAGATTAGAACAAAGGAGTCATCATCAGATCCATGTGTAACCATACTAGGTCCTATGTTCACCTGTTCCAAGTCTTATGATGTGTGGATCTGGATATAGCTTATTTTGTCCACATACTTCAACTTTCCACTTGCCTCTGGTATTTTTTATTTCAACTATAATTGTTATCTAAATTTTCAGTTTCTAGTCTACCTAGCATTTTTTTTTAGATCAGCAAGAGAATAAATGGCAGCCTTCTCCCTTGAGTAGGATCCAAATACATGTCTCTCTGATAACCCCTTTTCCAGCCAATGAAACCACTTATGAGCTTGCAGTTTTATGGGCCCACCTGAAAAAGGTTTTCAGACTGATTTCAAAAACCTTGCCTCTCTAATAGCAGACAAATTTATCCATGCAACAAATACATCTCCCCTCAACCATCCTATTACCTTGTGGTAATCCCCTTTAATTTCCATATTGGGGTAACTAATTGAGACAATCTATATCAACCCCTGAAGAAGAGCTAGCGCCTTAACCCAGATTGAAGTCCCTCCTCAATTGGACCTGAATTGACCATTAGGATACCACCATCTTGGTTCTATAAGGCCCAATAGAGTCCTTTCCCACAATCATCATCATCATCATTTCTTTTTTGGATTTTGGAGTGAAGGACAAAAATATTCGTGGGACTTTATTTTAAAACATATGCAGCTATGATGTTGAATATAATTGGTCTTTACTATTTAGTCTTTACCTTGTTACATGTGTGGCCATATGCTGATTGCTTGTGACAATTGTGAAGGTATTAAATGCTTGTGATAGTTAAGCTATTTCTTGTTTGTGCAGATGTTCAATTTCTCCCGATATCTGGTCTTATTGGCTCTAACATGAAAACAAGGGTGGAAAAGGGTGTATGCTCATGGTGGAATGGACCGTGCCTTTTTGAAGCTCTTGATGCCATAGAAGTCCCACCACGTGATCCTTGTTGAAAGCTGTTATTTGCCTAAGTATAGTACCGCAGGGGTACTATTGTATTTTTACCCCTTCATTTTTTTAGTTGCTGTCACCCTAGTATATATAACAAATAGCTGGTGCCGCCAGCATGCTTTTGACTCTCAAATCTTTCTCCTCTCTTCTTCTCTCTCTCTTCTTTCTTCCTCTCTTCTTTTCTTCTTTTCACCTACATCACTGCACTGATAACATGGTATCAGAGCCAGACCATTAGATCTGAAAAGGAGAGATCGCCCAGGCTTCCAAATCTGCTGCCACCATCTACAGTTCGAGTGATTGAAGATCTGCCGCCATCATCTACAGTTCTCACGCCTGAAGTAATCTCTCTCTTTCCCTCTTTTTTTCTTTTTTTCTGGTTGTGCGCCAGGGCAGAACCTGTATTAAGTCTGCTGATTGGATGTGAGGTGACCAGCACCTCTGTATTTCCTTTTTTGTGGGGTTGACTGACCCCTGAAAAATTTTGTAGGTCGGTGAAGACCTTTTATGTGCTGCGGTAGCAGCTTTTATGCTGAACCATAAGGTCAAGGTGACCTGTACTTGCTGTAACAGCATCCATGTTTGATGCGTAGATCAAGAATTGACCTGTCCGCCCTGTAACAGCACTGGTGTTTATCAAAAGGGGCCTGTTAGTGCTGTAACAACACCTGTGCTTTTCAAAAAAGGGGGGTAACAGCACCTGGTGTTATCAAAAAGGGGTTGTGTTTTTTGAAGAAAAAGGGGGGCTCCCTTTCTCCCTTGGTGTTAGCTTTTTTTTTTTAAAGTTTTGCCCCACTCTTAAGAGTCTTTTTTGAATCTGTAATCATGAGCGGTGAAGATTCTGTTACGTCCAGTGTTTCCTCAATGCAGAATGGAATGAGTGGAGGTGCGGACCTATCCTTTCCCATGGTTGTTATTCCTCTCGACAGTTTAAATTGTTTGGAATGGTCAAGAGGGATCAAGTTGTACATTACTGCAAGGGGAAAGATATGTTATATAAATGGGAGAATCAAAGAACCCAATTCTGGGAGTGCTGAATATGACAGATGGAACTAGGAAAACAACATGGTCATGTCCTGGCTTTTAGTGTCTATGCAACCCCAAATAAGAAGGAACTGTATGTGGGCTGAAACAACAAATGAAATCTGGGAACATGCAAAATGAACCTATTCTTAGCTGCATCACTATGCAAAGATTTATCAATTACAGGTAGAATCATCCACTTGTAAATAGGGGGAGAGGTGTCTTTCTGTGTACTACTCAGACTTGACTTTTGTCTGGAAGGAGTTAGATCATTATCAGACTGTGGACTGGAAGTGTGATGAAGATGCAAAATTATACAAGAAACTTGTATCTCAGCAGAGAGTGTTTGCTTTTCTACATGGCTTGAATCCTGCATATGAATCTATCAGAGTTCAGATCCTAGGTAGCAAGGATCTTCCCTCCGTCCAAGAAGTTTATGCTCTTGTACAATTAGAAAAAAGTAGAAGGAACTTGATGAACAGTTCTGGAGGGGATGCAGTTGGGTTGGCAGCAAAAGGAAGTGTGATTACAGGTGGTGGGAATACCTTTAAGAGGGTGGATTCTCAAAAAAGGGCGGATGACAAAGACAAACCGTGGTGTACTCATTGCCAGAAACCCCGACACACCCAAGATACATGCTGGGATCTTCATAGGAAGCCAAAATGGGCTCAAGATTTGAATAAGAAGCAAGGTTCAGATCTGAATAAAAAATTAGGACAGGCTAAGTACAAGAAAGAACACTGTGGCAAACATGGCCTCTCAGGAAAATCAGCCCCCCATTACTACTGTGACACCGACTCACTTCTCTGGATCTGACCCAAGGAAGAATATTATTAGTGACCATTTAGAGCTCTATGGTAAAGCAATTCATCAAATGGATGCTCCTCCCTCAACTTCATTTGTGTCTACATCAGGTAACTCTGCCACAACTTTCCATGCTGCATCTCATACCCCTGACACTCCCTGGATCATTGATTTTGGAGCGTCTAAACACATGACTGGTACGCCCTCTTACTTTCAAACCTATCACCTCCTTTCTGGAAGAGACAAGGTGAGACTAGCTGATGGATCATACACTACCATAGCTGGTCAAGGAACCATTTCTCTTCCTTTTGGCCTTACCCTCTCTGATGTTTTACATGTCCCAAAATTTCTCATTAATTTGTTTTTTGTTAGTAGTATTACTAATTCCTTAATGTGCTCAGTAACCTTTTTCCTTTCTTACTGTGTGGTCTAGAATCTGGCCTCGGGGAAGACGATTGGTAGAGGATGTATGGTGGATGGACTTTACATGCTAGAGAATAAGGCTGGTCTTCAAGTCACACAGTCTAAGAGTTAGTCCTGTAAGAGTCAGGTCTATTTATGGCATTGTCGTCTTGGTCATTTATCTTTTGAATCTTTAAAGTGGTGTTTCCAGAGTTGTTTAAGCCAGTGTCAGTTTTAGATTTTTCTTGTCAAACATGCCAATTGAGTAAACAGTGTAGAAATCATTTTCCTTCAAAGAATAATAAATCAGAATTTCCTTTCCACATTGTTCATTCTAATGTGTGGGGCCTTTTACTTTACCATTTGAGAATGGCTACAAGTATTTTATTACCATTATCGATGACTATTCTAGATATACATAGGTATATCCCATGCGGACCAGGGATGAAGTACCAAAAATTATCTGAGATTTTCTGCGGATGATCTTCACTCAATTTCATCAATCAGATAATGCCAAAGAGTATTTTCATAGTGATCTCATGGAATTTTTTGCTTCACGTGGTTCACTTCGCTGTAGCTCTTGTGCCTGAACACCACAACAACATGGTATTGCCGTAAGAAAGAACCGACACTTCCTTGAAGTGGCCTGGGGTTTACTAATCCATATGAATATCCCAAAACGATTTTGGCTTGAGGCTGTCCTTTGTGGTACCTATCTCATCAATTGTATGCCTTCTCGTTGGTTAGAGTGCAAAGCACCACATCAACTTCTTTTTCCTAAGGCTCCCCTTCTTTCCATTCCTCCTCGTGTGTTTGGTTGTTTTTCTGTCCAAAATCTGTCACCTACTCATGGAAAATTAGACCCTCGTGCTATTTCTTGCATCTTCTTGGGGTATTCTTTCACTTAGAAGGGATACCATTGTTTTGATCCTATTTCTCGGAAGTTTTCTGTTTCCATGGACGTCTCTTTCTCTGAGAGTGAGCCTTTTTTCCCTGTTTGTCCTCAGGGGGAGTGTAGGAATGAGGAGAAACTGGTTCAACTCCCTCATCTTTCTGATCCTCCTCCTTTTCGTGTCTTCTTTCGTTGTCACAAAGGCCAACCAAATTCAAGAGTTGTGGAGAACCTACAAGCTGTACCTCCAATGCCATCAAACTCTTCGGGGGCGGATCATACTCACTCAGGTATCTTGGTTCCTATTGATGTCCCTAACCCTATTGCTATTGATACCTCTGTTGCTAATGACCTTGACCTTCCTATTGCTCACAGGAAGGGTATTAGATCTTGCACCACTAAACAACCCATTTCCCACTTTGTTTCCTATGAATACATTTCACCCTCTTTTCGGGCCTTTCTCATTTCCATTGACAGTGTTCCTATCCCTAAGAATGTGGTAGAAGCTCTTTCAGTGCCTGAATGGACAGATGTAATGAATGAAGAAATTAATGCTCTACATAAAAATGGCACATGGGAACTAGTAGATCTTCATAAGGGAAGGGACCTAGTTGGATGTAAATGGGTGTTCATAGTCAAACATAGGGTTGATGGCACGATGGAGTGGTATAAAACTTGTTTAGTGGCAAAGGGGTTTACACAAGTGTATGAAGTTGATTATGTAGAGATTTTTGCACACGTTGCCAAGATGAACTCCATTAGAGTCCTTTTCTCCCTTGCTGCTAATCTTGACTAGGATCTACATCAGCTTGATATTAAGAATGCATTCTTGAATGGTGACCTTGAAGAGGAAGTTTACATGGTACAACCCCCTGGTTTTCGGGCTCAAGGTAATGAACAGAAAGTGTGCAGGTTGAAGAAATCATTATATGGGCTGAAACAATCACTGAGAGCCTGGTTCAGCAGGTTCCATGCAGCGGTTCAGCAGAAAGGATACAAGCAGTGTCAATCTGATCACACATTATTTGTGAAAAAAGGGGAAGAAAAAATTGTTGCTTTGATAGTATATGTTGATGATATAATTATCACTAGCGATTGGAAGGATGAAATCCAAAAGTTAAAGATTTTTCTTGCTACACAGTTTGAAGTAAAGGATCTAGGTCCTCTAAGGTACTTCCTTGGAATTGAAGTTGCCCGCTCACAAAAGGGTATCTTCATTTCCCAAAGGAAATATGTCCTATATCTACTCTAGGATACAAGAAAATTGGGAGTGAAGCCAGTTGATTCCCCTATTGATCCTAACCACAAATTAGGTGACTGCCAAGGTGAACCTATCAAGGATGTGAAACAGTTTCAGAGACTTATAGGAAGATTGTTATATCTTTCTATGACCCGCCCCGACATAGCTTATGCAATCGGTGTTCTTAGCCAGTTCATGCATGTTCCCAAGACCACTCACCTTGAAGCAGTAGAAAGAGTTCTCAGATATCTTAAGAAGTTCCCAGGTGCAGGCTTGTTGTTTCAAAAGCATGGGCATTTGAAAGTTGAAGTGTACACTGATGCAAATTGGGCAAGATCCCTGAATGACAGAAAGTCAAGTGGCTACTTTACCTTCATAGGAGGAAATCTAGTTACCTGGAGAAGCAAAAAGTAGAATGTGGTAGCTAGATCTAGTGCTGAAGCTGAATATCGGGCAATGGCTCATGGAGTGGCTGAAATTATGTGGCTAAAGAATCTGTTGAGTGAGTTGGGTTTTCTAGTGGACAGACCTATGACCCTATTCTGTGATAACAAAGCAGCTATAAACATTGCTGCTAATCCAGTGCTACAGGATAGAACTAAACACATCAAAGTCGACAAACACTTTATCAGAGAAAAGGTTGTCACAGGGGAAGTGTGTACTCCTTATGTCAGCTTTGAGGATCAACTTGCAGACCTTTTTACAAAAGGTCTACACTACTCACGGCATCATGATTTATGTGACAAGTTGGGCATGATTTACATCTATGTCCCAACTTGAGGGGGAGTGTTGAAAGCTGTTATTTTCCAAAGTATAGTACCGCAGGGGTACTATTGTATTTTTACCCTTTTATTTTTTTAGTTGCCGTCGCCCTAGTATATATAACAAATAGTTGGCACTGCCAGCATGCTTTTGACTCCCAAATCTTTCTCCTCTCTTCTCTCTCTCTTCTTTCTTCCTCTCTTCTTTTCTTCTTTTCTCTTACATCATTGCATTGATAACAATCCTAAAAGGTCCATTTAGGTATGAAATATAATTTATATAGTTTATTGATTAGTCTTTGTACTATAGTTGTCAAATCCTTACAATTTACAGTATAATTCACAAACCACTCAAGGGTTTGGGTTCAATTATTATGACTCGATCCTTTTCTGAAAAAAATCATATGATGGTTAAATGTTACAATATCGTATGCACAATATAAAGTTTGTCAAAAGTACAGTCTCTTTTTTCATTGTTTTGCTGGTTATGTAGATGCTCTCTCTTTTTATTCATTTCCTAATTGATAGTGCTTTTGCTCAATTATTTATTGCTCCATTATTCCCAAACTTGCAATGCAAGATACTTTGTTTTGATTCACTTTTTGACACTTACATTATTTTTCAGGTTCATTTCTTAACCAGCATAAAGTTGATTAGAAACTTGTATTTGTTGGACATCATGATAACTACTGCCAAGCTACCCTTATAACACTTTTGTGAAAATGTGGTCATGCTCAGAAAGGCATTGAAACATCCTAGAGGAGAATGAGAACAAACAACTTATAGTTCAAAATGTAAAACTGAGAATTTGTTTAAGGAAGAAATTTCTAAGACAGCCAGTTAAAGGAACTTCATCCCTACTAATGATTACTCAAACCATCGTGATACCTAGAATTCCAAGAGTTAGCAGCCTCAAATGAGTCTTATGGAACTTTGACTAAAATGACCATTTGTCTACCAATGATCCTACCAAAATCTAATCCTGAATCTTGACTCTGTGTCATACTTTATGTATTGGATGAAAGTAGGTGATGGACTTTTGGTGGATTTCCAAGGAGAGTGTCCTTATTGGGAGGATACCTGGATAGAGAACCTACAATTTTCCATTATATAAATCATATTTGCTTATGGTTTTTGAATGCCATAAATTATGATTCATCTCAGAGAAGCTCCAAACTCATTTTACCTATGGCAGTGGTTTCTTCCTTACACAAGTTGCACTTGTCTCTCCTGAAAAAGATCTCTTATTATCCTTTCAGGCTTCTTTTTTTACTTATGATGGAGGTGTTGAAACAGATAATAAGATAGGTATATTGGTGAAGGTGGGTTTAATTAAAATGTACACTTTTGCTAGAACTTTATCAATTCTTATTAGCACATAGACAGAACCTAAGATACTCAAGAGACTAGAAACGTCACATTTTAGAGGCTATATCAAGCGTTGTATGCTGATACTATTAGCAGTTTCTCATTAATTCCAAGCATTTAGCTTTTATTACGGTCTGTATTAAGACCAGAAACCCATTTGAAGCAATTGAATGCCTTTAGTGTTGTCCATAATACATATGGGATGTAGTGATCTCACACTATTCCATTCAAATGTGTGCTTCCCTAAGCATCCTCTCCTAACTCCCAGGTACATTTCCAAAATAAAAAGGAAAGGGAAGAGGAGTCTGCCCACCTGATGCATTTGTCTGTCAGAAAGAATCCTTTGTATGGGACCTAGGGACAATCACCAAAACATAAGTGATTATATATGCCCTTTCCTGCACTATATCAATTAATGTTTTTTTTTTGATAATTGAAATTTAATTCATTAATCAAGAGATATGTTACAAATAAGCCCAAAGAGAGGCTTGAGGTGCAGCGTCACTCTTAAGAATAAATATTAGAACTACATGAAAACAAGTAACCACTAGTAGAGAGATTATACACAATTACAAAGCTGCCCAGAACAGAGAATCCCTGTTAACCCCTTGTTTTGCAAGAGAATCAGCCATCTCATTAGGCAATCTTCTCACCAATTGGATCCTCACTATCATATTCCTTGTTAACCAAACCATCTTCTTAAGAAGATCTCTTAAACCCCAGACAGTCGAATCCGGATCCAGCAACCACCCCACAACAACCTGGGAATGACCTTCAATTATCAGGCTTTCTATTCCAAGTTGACTGGGTAGCTGAATCCCCTGTACAGAAGCTAGTAGCTCTGCTTTGGTAGAGTCTCCCCCCATCTCTCTCTCTCTCTCTCACACACACACACACATACGTACACCTCTCCCCCCCCTCTCTCTAGAAACAAGCAACTGCTACAGCCATTGTGGGACAACAGTGATGTAACATGGATAAAAGCAGCAGAGAATGGTGGCAGTACTACAACTTATATACACGTATGCATATTTTTATATTTATGAATGAGGTCGTAACCCTAAGAGTGGCATATTGATTGAGGTCATAACCCTAAGAGTGGCATATTGGGTCAAGACCTTGGATCTTTTCTCAGATTTTAAGGTTGTTGATTTTTTCAGAGCTTGGGGGGTTATAGCTGCCTCATCTTCTAGAAGACAGATAGTAGCAGTGGACTGGTCACCCCCACCTTGTGGCTGCTTGAAACTGAATTTCGATGGGAGTTGTGAAGGCAATCCAGGCTCCTCTGGAATTGGAGGGGTAATCAGGGATGAGGAAGGCAATATATGTGCTTTCTTCACAGGTCCAGTTGATCAAGGTGATGTGGCAACAGCAAAATTTTTGGCAGCTGTTTTTGGAGTTGAGAAAGCCAAGGAGTTGGGTTTTGAAAGGCTAATTATTGAAGGTGACTCCAAAATAGTTGTGGACTGGTTAAAGAAGGGAGAAGGAGTTTCTTGGCATCTAAGGAATGATCTTAGGAGGTTCAAATGGCTCTCTAGGGACAGGTTTATTCAAGTTAACTGAGAAGATCTGCCAACAGTTTGGCGGATGGTCTAGATAAGCAAGGGGTACAAAGACAGACTATGTTTTGGGCTTGTTGTAATTCTTGGGGGGGTTATACACATGGTGTCTAATTGTATCCTTCACAACTTGTTGTGCTGCTTTATTATTCTTATTGAAATCAATTTCTGAGTTATTGATGAAAGAAATATATTTTTTAACTTATAGTAACTTAAGTTCAGGACAAACCTGTTTGGAGATGTGCTAGAGAGAAACTGGGAGATGTAGAGCATTATGGAGGTGTGCTAGGGCTGCTTTACTTTGGACAGTTTGAGAGGAAAGAAATTACAGGATTTTTAATGATAAAGAAAGGGATATAGCTACTGTTTGGGAACGTGTCCTAATAAGGGCCATTAACTGGGCCAAATCTATGGACTTACTCTCAACTTTCTCCTTTGATGTTATGTGGAGAAACTGGGAATCTGTTGCAAACTCTTCTTCAGTTAAGGACAAACCTGTAGTAGACTGGAAGCTCCCAGAAAAAGGCTCTATAAAGCTCAACTTTGATGGCAGCAGCCTTGGCAATCCTGGACCTTTTGGTATTGGGGGTGTATTCAGGAATGAAGAGGGACAGATTGTCACCCTATTCTCTGGCTCAATTGGAGTGGGGGATGCAGTTAGTGCAGAGGTACAAGCGGCTCTACAGGGAGCACAAATTGCTAAAGAGTTGAACTTTAGGAGGTTGGTCATTGAAGGTGACTCTAAAGTGGTAACTGGGTGGCTGAAAAAACCAGAAACAGTGGCTTGGTCTTTTAGGGGAGAGATGAGGAGATTCAGGTGGCTTACCTCTAATCTCACTGTGAGAGTTCAGTGGGAGAGGTCAGAAAATGGACTGGCTGACCTACTAGCTAAGCAAGGGGTGAACTGGGATCACTTATTCTGGGCTCAATTGTAATTTTACTTTGTAATCACTTGTCAGTGTACTTTATACTTTAAACTTCATCTTAATAAAATTCTTCATTTATTCATCAAAAAAAAGTAACTTAGGTTGAATCAGTAGGAACTGAAACAAGTTTCAATCTGGATCAACTATGATGGCTATTGAAATAATCTACTCTGTTCGTTTGGATTATCAGACTTGCTCTGGTACCATGTTTTTCTTGGTAGAAAAGTTGCTGAATAGAAGAGAGAAGGAAGAGAAGAGAGGAAGAAAGAAGAGAAGATTTGGAGTCAAAAAGTTGGGGCTGGCGGTATAGCATCCGGACGCTCCACATTTCTTGAACTCGGCTTGCTCTAATGCCAATGAAAGGAAACACGAAACAAGGGAGGATCAGGAATAGAAGGAAGGTGAACCTGAGCATGTTTCTCCTCAACCCTACTACAAAGCCCTAATGATCTCAATTTCACAGTTAAAAAGGGAGAGTATTGGAGTCCATAGAACAAGGAAGTTGGACAGCATAAAGAGGAATAGGTTCAACAGGTATGCTAATGTAAATAGAAAACAAACGGCTGTGCCATTGAAGAGGCATGGAAATTAAAAAATAAAACCAAAGGACAAGGGGATAGTTCAATGGTGAGAGACCTTTGATCCGGATGGTTGAACTGCTGACCTGTTGACCTGGAGAGAATAGTGGTTCAACCTCCAGGCTGGGTTTTAAAACATCGATTACATGAGCATCTATAAAGTTGATAAATTGGAGATTACTACTTTTTTTTTGGTGGGGAAGGGGTGTTAAAGAAGGTTCAAGGGATGTTTGTTTTTAATCGGTCCTCTATTCTTTATAAATCTGAGGGCCTTATTGTAAAGATTGGTAGCTTCCTTGTTGAGATGGAAATCTTATGGCAGAACCTATTTAATTTTATGCTGATTCTCTATGAAGAATTTCAGAAGGGCCCATTGCTGCTTAGGTGTGCCCTTAGGGGGAAAACTTTTTGGCTGCTAAACTTAAAAGCTCATTCAAATGGATTCTCATCCAGCTAAGACTTCGGTTTACTCCCTTGATAGATTTATAGTGACTACACAGGAGACAGGACCTTGTATAGGGGTCATGAGGCCAGGAGTGCAGATTAAGGAATCCTAGTAAATGAATGATGTATTACACTTTTGACAAATTTTACTGCTATCTTAGATTTTTACTGCTGGTTACAAGGCAGTACTGCACATTCATGCTGTTGTTGAGGAGTGTGAAATTGTGGAACTGCTGCAGCAAATTGATCCAAAGACAAGGAAACCCATGAAGAAGAAGGTCCTTTTAGTGAAGAATGGTGCTGTTGTTGTATGCCGCATTCAGGTCAATTCTATAAACTATGGATTTAGAAGTTGTGTTTGCTCGAGTCAGGATGGTAGTTGCTAAGTTGTTTTAATAAAATGTGTTTCACAGGTTAGTAACTTGATTTGCATTGAGAAGTTCTCTGATTTTCCACAACTTGGAAGATTTACTCTTCGCACTGAAGGTAAGAAATAGGAAGTTTATTTGTTCTATGGAGACGCGTTACTTTGTATGTTGTGGTAGTTACTTGGGATAGTGTCTTGTACAGGTCTTCCAAGCACCAGACCGGCAATTTTGGTGTAAAGAGTAAGGAGCAAATGCCCGATATGCTCCCCTGAACCGGTTTCGAAAAAAATAAAAAAAAAAGTAAAAAAAAAACAGTACCGATACCGCCCGATATGCTCCTACCGGTGTATCAGGGGTATCAATATTTAGAACCTTGTCTGGTTGTCACTGTTCTCTTACCATAGATTTCAAAATTGAGAATCTATTGTTGATCTTTGTCTGTGCTTTCTGGCATCATGAGTGCTCACCACAATTGAGGGCGATATGATAGGAAGGGATATATGGCAACTCACCAACTACCAATATCCCTAGTTGAAGAAAGGAGAGGGAGGTAAAAACAAGACATAAATCAATTGTATATTTTGAAAATTTGAAAAAAAAATGAAGGACAAAAGAGCCACAAGCGCTTATTGGTGAAAAAGATCACCAAACATCCAATATGAAATAAATGTTTATTTTTTCAAATAAATACTCTCTTTTAAGCACTTATTTTTAATATAAGCACTTGCAAACATAGCCTAAAGCAGCTAAAGAATTTGCCTTGTTAAGCATCAAAAGGAAAAAAAAGGCAACTACCAATATCCCTAGTAATATGTATATGCATTTGCACATGGTGGTATTTCTAAGACAAAACTATTTATAATTCATGGTTAGTTTTTGAATAGTTACAAGTGGTCAGTTTCGAAGTCATATATGTCCTCTTTATGCCCATTTTATGTTTAGATAAGGGGGATAGAAAATGTCAAATGACAATTTCAGAAAGAAGGGGCATTCGCTCTTTTATAGGTAGTATAGATTTTAAGGTGGTCTCTCCTCCGTCTGGAGTAAAGTTTGGGGTTCAAAAAAAAAAAAAAAAATCTTGCCTGCACCTGGGTTGGGGGGTTATGGGTTTGGGGATGAACTGCTCCTTGTATTGTGTAACCTTGTGGAGAAAAAAAAGAAAGAAAGAAAGAAAGTGCAAGAAAGGGAATCAAAAGCTTTCCTACTAGTTGAACAAAATTGTTATAACAGTGCTCAAAAAAATAGTGAGGTACCTCCCCATATCACGTTGCCCCCTCCACATGTGTCTCAATGCTGTCTCTTGATTTTCATACATGTGTAGTCATTTGGAGTCACCGTGTTGCTTTTTCCATACCAATAGACAAGCTGAATCGGCACGTGAAGATCATCCCTATCCCACACCCTATTTTACTTTCACTCATAACAAATCTTGGATGAATGACTTACTCAACGTTTTAGAATTATGAATGTTTTGGAAGATTACCTCTGCTGAAAGTGGTGAATGCCCTCTCTATTAAAATGGAACCATAACAGAAGCAACGAGTAATTTGATTTTGCCGAGGATAGGAAGATGAGAACAAGGTGAAAGGTGTCGTTAGGTTGAGAAGACCAATGAGAATTTTTGCAAGGAGAGAATTTTGTGCATAATAATTTATAATTGAGAAAATGAAAGAGAGGATAAGGGAAATTGAAGAATAGGTTAATAGGGGGTAACTCTTTAGAAAGTAATTTATACACAAGGAGAGAATTTAGGTGATTAAATAATATTACCAAAAAAAGAATGGAACCAAAATGCAAGGGATATGGTGTAGGTGGTGGGATTAGGTGCAAATTGTAATAGAAATAGAGGAGAAAATAATTATGGTTTTTAATATATATTCATACACACGTGTATTGTATGAAAATGGAGAGGAGTAAGTGTGAGACCTATGGTGAAAGGACCCTTATACTCCATACATTCCTCTACCTACCTATCTATCTATCTATCTATCTATCTATAAGAATGGTTATGTCAGATGCCCTCTCCTTGCTCCCTTACTCTAATCGAGAGATCCTAATCTCTTTGCATTATACCTTTCCTTGCTATCTTAAGAAGCAACCTCAGCAGTCTCCTATTCCTTTCCCACCTTTCTCAAGTTGCCACCTCAGCAATCTCCTCCACTCCCTTTCCCACCCTATTCATAGTCAATTACGCTTCATAGTCGTGATATAATAGGAATATACCAATAATAACTCTCACTCTACATAGGAAACCTTCCATCCCTATCCTACTATGAAATCTTTTTTTCCCTCTCAAAATGATTCATTTGCTTCCACATCCTATCTTGGAGATTTCAAGTTTGCGTTTACAAGTTAAAAACAGCTAAGGGCAGAGAAACCAACGTTTTCACTTTATTATTCTCATCTTAGATTAAACCATCTTCTTCTTGCTAACATCCGCATAAAAGAATTTCATCATGTATGTTCATATTTTTTATTATTGTTCTTCTTCTGGACATTAAAATAGGGGCTTTGTCCCCAAAGTCTCTCAATATATATAATAGAACATACTTCGGTTTTGAAGGTAAACCACCACATCAAATATTTTTTTTCATTCAAAGTTTATGTGTTCAACCAGTTCATTTCTATGTTAATATAAAGATCTACTTTGGTTTTAAGGTAAACCACCACATATCAGTTATTTATTATTTTTTTTTTTGCGTTCAAAGTTTCTTTGCTCAACGAGATTATTTCTATGTTAATATACATCGCGTTGAAGTTTCTACTCATGTTCAAAAATGAATCAGGTATATTGTCCTCCTAATTTTCTTCTTTTTCCTTCATGTTCATATGATAAAATGCTTACGACAGTTAAATAAATTAAAATAGTTTGCTGAACAAACTTTATTTGCCTTCATGCCTTGTTTATCTTTCCCCCTCTTAAAAAAAAGGTTAGTAGGATAAACATGTTGGAAGAGCTAAAAACTTGATTAAACATGGCTGTACTTGCTATAATTGCTGGCTGAAAAAAAAAAAAAAATTCCAACCCAACTCGAGAACTAGTTTATTGGTATTTTGAAATCTAAATTTTTGGATTCATCTTGCATTGAACTCGGGCCAGATTTGAAATCCAAATTTAAAACTGATCATGCCTGATATGGAGTCTATAGTATGCAATTCCTAGAGTTGCGATTCACACCCAATCTTAGACCCAAATTGGCCTCCAACTGAACATGGCATAGTTGTATGTGTGAAGCTGATTCAACAACACTGTTTTAGTGCTCAGATAAATATATCTTTGTGAACCTAGCATCCTCTGATGTTTTTCTTCAAAAACACAGCCGATGATTGATGAAAATCAGCCCCTACCACAACTGATTCGACCTAGGGTTTTCGGGTACAAAGGGAGAAGAGAAATAGAGCACGAGAGTTGAGAAAAAGGATAGTTCGCCCTTCCCTCTTACCCCCCTTATATTGAACACTCTCCTAATCCTATTAAAAGCTTATCCAAATCAAATTTGGATTAGGACTTAATCCAAATCAGATTTGGATTAGCACATTATCTTCTTAAGAGAATGGGTGCTCTATACCCATATCCAAGTTAGATTTGGATTAGGAATTAGGCTTGAATATTGTATGGAGTGGGATCCACAAAGGTTTTAAACAAGTCTACAAGGGTTCGGCCTATCCCTAGAAAGTGATAGGCCAAATTCACTACTTATGGGCAATGAGCCCCTAAATCTAACAAGTTGGATTCATTTTGGGCCCAACATTTAAACATAAGTGATCATTGGATTCAGCTATCTTATGAAAACCCAAGATATTGGAATTATGTAAGATAAAACCTGATGGAGAGTGATTTGGCCCGACCTCGTAGCATAGAGACACGTGTGCGTGACCTGGCTCAACGAATAACTCAACCTAACAGCACAACTGTGACTCGACGGGAGGGACCCGTCGAGTCTAATGTTGGCACTCGGCGGGTTAAGCGACTCGCCGGGGACTAGCGCTCGACCAACCTTGAATCCTACCAAGTATGGGAGACCTCGAACTCCCCTCAGGGCCCGAGCTCCCCTTGAGACTCGAGCTCCTCATAAGAGGCCCCGAGCTCTCCCTTCCTAAGAAGGGAGCACCCCGGTTTTTGGCTAAGTGTCCCGAGGGAAAAACACCTCGGGGCAGCACCATCGAGACTCCTGTTCAAACTTGCGTAAGGCCCGCCTCCAGTGTAGGCACCACGGCACCTCGGTGCAAGGAAAACCTGCCCCAGGTGGTTCGGTGTACAATAGCTTGGTAGGCTATAGGGAGATCTGCCTGACATCCGTGCCTGCCTGACATCCATACCTGCCTGACATCCATACCTGCTAGATCCGGTGGCAGGGCTGTGATCCCTTGCCAGGCAGAGTTCTGCTTGCTAGGCGGCGTTCTGCTTGCCGTCTCTGAAAAGCATGGCACGCCTGGCAAGTCCGTACATTGCAATAGCAGCCTGTAGTAGCAACCTGCACCTGCCACGCATGCCCTGGCAGTAACGGCTAGGGCAGTGGCGGTTATGCCAGATGTGACGGAGCTCTGATATAAAAGAACCCCAACCCTCACGAAGCGAAGGTATTGAAACTAGCACTCTCAACACTCTTACTCTTTGTTTTTCCTTGAGATTTCTCCTGAGTTCTAACTTAGCCGTCGGAGTGTTCCCGCTGGGAGAGCTCCCCGGGAACCCTTCACTTTCTTCATCCTCTCAGGTGCCGTCCATCACAGGTAGGAGCCAACTCGCAGCCAGCTAGGAGTGCCCAGATTGTGCAGCATCATTTGGCGTCGTCTGTGGGAAACGCTTCAAAAAGGTTCCCTCTAACTTCCGTGAAACTTCCCTCTTCGTAACTCATCAGCACCACCGACATCCATGGCTTCTTCCAGCAACTCCGGACGCTGGAACACCCCAGAGGAGCAACTCCAACTGCCCACCGTCTACATTGGGCAGTTCATCGTCCCCCTCTCTGTGGACGGGGTTCCTAGCCTGAACGTGCCTACGACGGTGGCACCCGTGACTGATCCACTGCCCCCTGCAGTCGGGACGACCTTCGCTGAACCCACCATCCTCCCTCCGGTGGCCGGCCAAGGTCAACTTGAAGACCTGATGCAGTGCATGCAGGGTATGCAGGGCATGCAGGCCCAGATGCAGCAAGTGCTGCACCAAGTATCTCAGTATCAGTACCAGCAACAATTCTCGTCACTCCCTCCCCGACACCTGGCTGCACAGCCAACTAAGCCTCACCGCCGCAATGAACTCCCTTCCCGCCGGGGAGAGACTTCGGCATCATCCCATGGAAAGAAGGGAAGACCCCCTACCCCCACCACGCGACCCGCAGTCAGGTCGGGGGCTCCCCAGCCGGTTAGGCTGACGTCACCTCAGCAATCACAATTCGAGCCTCTGCTTGCGGAGAACAGGTTCAAAATGCTAGTTGACGACCTGGAACAAGGTCCTTCTGTCTGCAGCTACCGATAGCCATCCCTGCCTCCCCCTGGCCCAACGAGCTAAGCAATACTAAGGCCAGCAACACCAATGCCGAGCCGGCCAAGAAGTAGCGGAGACGCCGCCGGGCTCGTCGAACTGCCACCACCCACAATTTGCCCGAGCTCAAGGGCAAAATAGAAATAAGTTCAGGAGAGGTAAGAGCTGCACCACTTCTCTCAGTCCTCTCTCCTCTGT